ACCTCGGACTCGGGCTCGGGCCCGGCGTCCGAACGCGGCGTTCCGGGCCAAGTGGACTTCTACTCCCGGTTCTCGCCGTCCCCGCTCTCCATGAAGCAGTTCCTGGACTTCGGTGAGTGCCGTCCGGGCCTCGGGCCTTTGTGCTCGGCCCCGGGCCGGGGCTCCCTCGGCCCGCGCTGGCCCCCCTCGTCTCGGGAGCACCCCTCCTCCTAACGTCTGCTGCTCCGGCGCCCTCGGTGCCTCCTTCCTCCCTCGCGGTGCCGGCGCTTGCCAGCGGTGTAAATAACAGGGCGTGTGGCGTTTTACTGTGTGGTGGCGAACGACTGGGAGGGCGGCGGGCGGAGTGTCCGCCGGCTCTCAGCGCACGTGTGCAGGTGCGCGCTCGCCACCAGGCCCCTTTGGAAGAGCTGAGCCCCGGATGGAGGCCGGAGTGGACCCCTCAGGGAATCGCGTTCAGATCCTCCAGGGTGATGATAAATGCCCATTTTTGCATGTTACGATGGCATAGAATTGGCATTATCATAGGGAAAGCAGGTTATAACTGGCCCGATGTTTCTTAGAACGTTCTCCCTGCCAGTGACTTCAAGAGTTTCTCCTAGCAGCACATTGATTTCAACATCGGCAAGTGAGTCTTGGGCACGTGTAGAGTGCATGAGTACAAGATGCCTTGGCGTTTACCACATTTTACCCTGGTTTACACTAGAAGGCGTGCAACAGATTGCAGAAGGAATTGCAAAAGTAGGCATTTATCTTGGACATCTCTTATGGGGGCGGTGAGGGGAAAAGGGAAAATTCGAAATAATAGTCATAAACTTTGAGTAGAAAATGTTAGCTTTTCCATTGTGAGTGCTATTAGGTCACTATCTTACACAAGTGGGATTGAAAGATACTAGAATGGCTGGGACCTTTATCTTATACTGTGGTTTACAGTGACAAAATTTGGAGCCCAGAGCCCACATTTTTTGTTCTTATTTTTAAATGTCTCTAGTATGATGGAGTGAATTTGACCTTGTTCAAAGTAAGCCATTAACGTTTCACAAAATGTTGCCCTTTAACACTGTAATTCCTTCTATTGATAATCTAGCCATTGCTAAAGTTGACTCTGCAGGAGCAACAAGATTACATTAGTGAGTTTAACATGCGTTATTGAGGGACCAGCAGTTGGCCGTAATGGCTGTGTCGCTGAACTCCCATGTAGTTGACCACGGTTCGAGTCCCAGACCCGGTGGCTTAAACTCACACCAGGTGCATGTGCATTGTGCCCAAGATCCTGAGAAGAGAATGGAGAAGGGATTGTGGTGTGACCATCCCCCAGGGGGTGATTTCTCGCTTTCTGTCTCTCTTCTCTGTCTCTCTCTGTCTTTCTGGTGAACTTGCCCTATACCAAAAAGCCTCTCCAAAAAAAAAAAAATTATTGAAATAAGGCTTTTTCATTTAAATTAAAATAGAGCTGTTTGCCAAGGATGTTCCACAACTGTTCTGCTTATTAGCTTCTTCATAAAAGAGAGGAGAAAGGGACAGGTGATTTTCCAGGAATCCGGGGATTGAGTAGGACCTACTTGAAGATGGTTGCTGAACAGCCATTGATTGGTTTTGCTTTCTGTTGCCTGAAAGCCCTTCTCCATCCTTACTCTTTGCTTGTGGTAATTAGTATTAATGGTTCTATACGGAATCAGTCATTCTTCCAGTGCACACAATGAAATGTCTATTTCTTAGATAGTCGCTCTTGAATAACCTAAAGTGAGAAAACAGATTTTTAAAATGATAGTGGCAACAAGGTGTACAACTGGCTTTCCCAGGTTCTGTTGCTAATTAGACTCTGAGCCTTGCTCAGATATACATAGGTTACCTTAGTTCTCAGATGGAGGTCACTAAGGATGCAAGTAAGGGAGACAGGGAAATATCTTAGTTGCTGTACAGAGCCGCTGGAATGTCGTGAGTTGGAAGGTCATCGTGGATGCATCGGAACTAGAGATAGGGTTGTCTCAGACATGGGCATCTTTGCCTCCTAGTCCTAACCCCATCATCATGGTGTTTCTGGCTTTGCTAATCACACCCTCTGAACTGATCCCTGCCTCCTGGCTTTTGCTACCCAGTGGCTTCTATTGTACTTACGACTTTTCTCCCCGGTGTTTGTCTTCAGGATCAGTGGATGCTTGTGAGAAGACCTCATTTATGTTTTTGCGGCAAGAGTTGCCTGTTAGATTGGCAAATATAATGAAAGAAATAAGTCTCCTTCCGGATAATCTTCTCAGGACACCATCTGTTCAACTGGTACAAAGCTGGTAAGATCGCCATCTTGGATTTGCAATTCCAGTGGAATTGTGGACTTTATGCAAGGTTAAAGCAGATGCCTTTTTTAAATTCTTTGATAGAATCATAAGGTGGTGGCAGTTTTTCCTCTTTTAGTCCGTGGTGTCTTTGATTGTTCTCTGAATCCTGGACTCCACCACTCCCTGATTTTGAGAAAATCAATCAGAACTGCACTGAAATACAGATATTTAATACTCGTATTATTAAATATTCAAGGATATTATAAGAAAAATATCTACCCTTTGTTGATGTATAGATATTTATATAGACATATATAAATATACATATATATAGTCTTTAATCCCTTCAACAACCCTGCATGGTGAGATTTTTTTTTGGTTTTGTTGCTTAATTTGCCAGAGTGCCCATGCGCTGGCCAAA